GGGCCCTTGAGTGACACCAGGGATGAAGGAATATGCTAGGTACACTGGTACACAAAATGGAATTTTTTGGGAGCAGCATAGGGGACTGAATATTGTAACATAATGTTAATAGTTGGGAAGTGATTGGTATGTTGTTATTATGATTAAAAACATTGAAGACTTCCATCAAAAACTTAGTCACTTAAAATTCTGAAGAAAATACCTGAAATCTGAAGCTTAAATTCAATGCAAGTTCTCTTCAACACTTAAAAATGTTGGAAAAAAGATACTAAATAAAAAACCCAGCCTTATCAAAGGTCCCTTAAATCTCAAGACACACAATTGTATTGCCTTAAAAAGGGATGAATGGGCTTTCTCCCCTTTTCAGAAGACGCTGTTCAAATGTTTTTCAGTGATAAAAGTAATTTCTAAATGACCCTTGCAACGTGTCTCCCAAACAAATAAGATCAAATGCAGTTAAATTTAGATGGAGACTGTAGCACCTTGTTGCCTGTGGGTCCTAATAGTTATATTCAAATTGAGTAAAGCCTACACTGAGCTAGATATTGCATGACCTCAGCTCACCCTGGGGTGTTCCAAACCTCAAGTGTCTGCTAGAAACATCGCAACAGTGGGACGTAAGAGATTAGGCTCGATTTCCATTTTTAATCTTTACGGCAGGGTTAAGTTCGCACAGAGAATCAGGCAGTATGTCTTGTTCTTTATTATTTTATCAATTACTGTGTAGTCATGCGTTGGATACTAACCCAGATAGTAATCCAGTAATCCTTGGATGGTAATCTTTATTTTGTATTCCAGCTATAAGGAAGTCATGTTGTAGCTGACTGCTAAATATTTGTTTAGTATATTTTGTACACTCGATTTGTGAGGCAGAACCTATATACAGTGAGACTAGTCATCGGTTTACCTTATTTTATTTTGTGAATTAAGAGTTTTACTGTGTTTATATCTATTTCAACCAAAAGAAACATTAGCTTTTATATTTTGTTTCTGTAAATTCAATTATTTTTTTTCACCGTTTATTCTTCTAACAGTGAAAATTAAAGCTATTCTGCTTTAATTCGAGGTAAATTGTATACATTTGTGCAAGTAATTCTTAGAACAAACAACATGGGAATAAAGATGCTAATAAGGTACTGAATAAAATAGTTCTGTTTTGGCAAGAATTTACAGATAGTTTATCCTCATTTTGCCTGCCTAAGTAAAAATCAGATGCTCTCAACACATCCTGTAGATACCAAATTCAGAATTGAGTCCAGATGGATTCATTCCTTTTTTTCCTTGTTATCCCATGCATCTGTGAATGTGCATACTTAGATGTTGCATAAAATTGACGAAGTACATATTAAAACTTAAGAAGCTTGTCATACTAACCTTTACAAAATTCCTTACCAAGGGAGAAAGTATGTCTGATTCTGTTATTAATTCCTATTATATATCGGCTACATGTTTGAAACACAATTCCCATTGTTTTGAATTATTAGGGATTTTT